GATTGGGGCCGGTCAAGGACAGTAGTGGGAAGTTGTGCGTGGAGTCTGAAGAGATAGGAGAGGTGCTAAATGAATATTTTTCGTCAGTATTCACACAGGAAAAAGACCATGTAGTCGAGCAGAATACTGAGATACAGTCTATTAGACTAGACGGGATTGAGGTTCATAAGGAGGAGGTGTTAGCAATTCTGGAAGGTGTGAAAATAGATAAGTCCCCTGGGCCGGATGGGGTTTATCCTAGGATTCTCTGGGAAGCTAGAGAGGAGATTGCAGAGCCTTTGGCTTTGATCTTTATGTCGTCATTGTCTTCAGGAATAGTGCCAGAAGACTGGAGACTAGCAAATGTTGTCCCCTTGTTCAAGAAGGGGAGTAGAGACAACCCTGGTAATTATAGACCAGTGAGCCTTACTTCGGTTGTGGGTAAAGTGTTGGAAAGGATTATAAGAGATAGGATTTATAATCATCTAGAAAGGAATAATTTGATTAGGGATAGTCAACACGGTTTTGTGAAGGGTAGGTCGTGCCTCACAAACCTTATTGAGTTCTTCGAGAAGGTGACCAAACAGGTGGATGAGGGTAAAGTGGTTGATGTGGTGTATTTGGATTTCAGTAAAGCGTTTGATAAGGTTCCCCACGGTAGGCTATTGCAGAAAATACGGAGGCATGGGATTGAGGGTGATTTAGCGGTTTGGATCAGAAATTGGCTAGCTGTAAGAAGGCAGAGGGTGGTGGTTGATGGGAAATGTTCATCCTGGAGTTCAGTTACTAGTGGTGTACCTCAAGGATCTGTTTTGGGGCCACTGCTGTTTGTCATTTTTATAAATGACCTGGATGAGGGCGTAGAAGGATGGGTTAGTAAATTTGCGGATGACACCAAAGTCGGTGGAGTTGTGGATAGTGCGGAAGGATGTTGCAGGTTACAGAGGGACATAGATAAGCTGCAGAGCTGGGCTGAGAGGTGGCAAATGGAGTTTAATGCGGAAAAGTGTGAGGTGATTCACTTTGGAAGGAGTAACAAGAATACAGAGTACTGGGCTAATGGTAAGATTCTTGGTAGTGTGGATGAGCAGAAAGATCTCGGTGTCCATGTGCATAGATCACTGAAAGTTGCCACCCAGGTTGATAGCGTTGTTAAGAAGGCGTACAGTATGTTAGGTTTTATTGGTAGAGGGATTGAGTTTCGGAGCCATGAGGTCATGTTGCAGCTGTACAAAACTCTGGTGCGGCCGCACTTGGAGTATTGCGTACAGTTCTGGTCACCGCATTATAGGAAGGATGTGGAAGCATTGGAAAGGGTGCAGAGGAGATTCACCAGGATGTTGCCTCGTATGGAGGGAAGGTCTTATGAGGAAAGGCTGAGGGTTTTGAGGCTGTTTTCGTTAGAGGGAAGAAGGTTAAGAGGTGACTTGATAGAGACATACAAGATGATCAGAGGATTAGATAAGGTGGACAGTGGGAGCCTTTTTCCTCGGATGGTGATGGCTAGCACGAGGGGACATAGCTTTAAATTGAGGGGTGATAGATATAGGACAGATGTCAGAGGTAGGTTCTTTACTCAGAGAGTAGTAAGGGCGTGGAATGCCCTGCCTGCAAAAATAGTAGACTCGCCCACTTTAAGGGCATTTAAATGGTCATTGGATAAACATACGGATGATAATGGAATAGTTTAGGTTAGATGGGCTTCAGATTGGTTTCACAGGTCGGCGCAACATCGAGGGCCGAAGGGCCTGTACTGCGCTGTAATGTTCTATGTTCTATGTTCTATGTTCTATGCCACCTCTCTCACTCATCTCAGAACTCCGTAACCTTGGTCTCAGCTCCGCCCTCTGCAACACGATCCTCAGCTTTCTGACCCACAGACCGCAATCAGTGAGGATAGGTAACTGCACCTCCTCCACAATAACACTCAACACTGAAGCTCCCCCAAGGATGTGTCCTCAGTCCCCTACGTACTCTGTGTACACCCACAGCTGTGTTGGCAAATTCCAAACGAATGTCACCTACAAGTTCGCTGATGACATCACCAAAGTGGGTCGGATATCTAACAATGATGAGTCAAACAACAGAAGGGAGATAGAGGGCTTGGTGACATGGTGCAAAGTAAACAATCTGTCTCTCGACATTGGCAAAACTAAAGAACTGATCGTTGACTTCAGAAAGAAAGGAGGAGAACACACCCCCATTTACATCGACGGAACTGAAGTTGAGAGGGTGAAGAGCATCAAGTTCCTCAGAGTGATGATAACCAACAAACTGTCCTGGACTTCCCACGTAGATGTGACATTCAAGAAGGCACAAGAATGTCTCTTCTTCCTCAGGCAGCTCAGGAAATTTGGCATGTCCACAAGGTCCCTCACCAACTTCGACAGATGCACCACTGAAAACATACTGTCTGGGTGCATAACGGCCTGGTACGGCAACTGCTCTGCCCAGGACCATAAGAAACTACAGAAGGTTGTGTGCACAGTCCAGACCATCCTGGAAGCCAACCTCCCATCCATGGACTCCATTTACATGGCTCGTTGTCGTGGAAAGGCAGCCAACATCATCAAAGGCCTATTGCACCTTGATAATGATCTCCTACAACCTCTTCCGTCAGGCAGAAGATACAGAAGCCTGAACACACTCACGAGCAGGTTCAGGAACAGCTTCTTCCCGGTCATTATCAGACTGATGAATAGACTCTCTAGCCTGAAATAATGATTGATCTTGCTAACGTTGATCTCGCCTAGTGCACACCTTGTGCAATGTATGCCTCTATCTCAGTCTTTTTGATCTGTACATCCTTTACTTACTATGATCTGCCTGTACCACTCGTAATTAAAGCTTTTTGCTGTACTTTAGTACACATGACAATAAATCCATTGATCAATCAAACCTGAAGAAGGAGCGAGACTCTGAAAGCTTGTGTCAATACATTTCCAAGTCAGGATGGTGAGTGGCTTGGAAAGGCTTCAATTACCAGAGGAAGAAACTAAATTTGCAGGACTGTGGGGAAAGGGAGGAGGAGTGGGACTGATTGAGTTGCTGTTGCAGAGTCCAGCCACAGACATGACTGGCTGAATGGCCTTGTTTTGTGCTGTAACCACTCTGTGTTTCTGTGATCTAGCCCTTGCACTTTGATCGTTTTAAGTCAAACTTTACTGAGGACACGGAAGTGGGATTTTAAGCAATCAGGGCTGACTGTAATCGATTATGAGTCAAATTAGATACACCATTAAATGGGAATCACCAGCCACCTGGTTTAGTATGAAGACGATTGGAGAATTCTAAAGTTCCATTCATTGACTGAAAGTTTCAGACTTGAACAGAATGTGTTTTCATTGGAGAAAATAAGCTGAAGGTCAATCTAGGACTGGCTGAAAGGTGTAATGTAGATTTATGGAGAATTTGTTTTAGTCATTCGTGGTTTATGGGCATCGCTGGCTGGGGCAGCATTTATTGCCCACTCCTAAAAGCCCTTGAGAAGATGGTGGTGAGCTGGCTACTTGAATGGTGCAGGCCATGTGCTGTAGGTAGACACACAATGCTTCTAGGGACGGAATTCCAGGATTTTGATCTAGAGACACTGAAGGAACGGCGATATATTTCCAAGTCAGGATGGTCCTTGGCTTGGTGGGGAAATTGCAGGTGGTGGTGTTCCCATGTGTCCGCTGCCCTTGTCCTTCTAGATGGAAGTGGTTATGGGTTTGGAAGGCGCTGTCTAAGATTCTGTCAGAATTTCTGCAGTGCATCTTGTAGATGGTACACACTGCTACACACTGAGCGTAGATGGTGTTGTAAATGGCTTCTTGTGGATGTGGTGCCAATCAAGTTGGACACCTTGCCCTGGATGGTATCGGGCTCCCCGAGTGTTGTTGGAGCTGCACTCATCCAGCCAAGTGGGGAGTTTCCATCACACTCCTGACTTGTGCCCTGCAGATGGCGGACAGGCTTTGGAGAATCAGGAGGTGAATTACTTGCTGCAGTATTTCTAGCCTCTAACCTGCTGTTGTAGCCATTGTGTTTATGTGGCACGTCCAGTTGAGTTTCTGGTCAATTGTAACCCCAAGGATGTTGATAGTGGGGAATTCAGTGAAGGTGAGGGACAGTGGTTAGATTGTTGACTTGCTCGCCAAGCTGGCTTGTTTTTGTTCAGACATTTCATCATCATGTGTAGCGTCATTTCCAGTTTTGTTCTGTATGGGTTTGTATATGTAGCCCAATTCTATATGTTTGTATATGACACTGCGCATCATAACGGACTGGACAGTATAAATTCCAAGTGGAGTAGAACGACATCGCTTCATCGGAGGCCTCACTGATTATGTTACCTAGCATGGTGATGAAACGTCTGAACGAAAACAAGCCAGCTCGGCGAGCAAGTCAACAACCTCACCCACAACCAGAGCTACAAATCTTTGCTAAAACTTTGAAGAGTGGTTAGATTGTCTCTTCTTGGAGATGGTCATAGCCTGGCATTTGTGTGATGTGAATGTTACTTGTCAGCACAAGCCTGAATATTGTCTAGATCTTGTTGCATTTGAACATGGGCTGCTTCAGGGTCTGAGGCGAATCATAGAATTGTTACAGAGCGGAAGGAGGCTATTCAGCCCATCATGCATAGACCAGTTCCTACCACAGGACTGGATGGCCATGGAAGGTGCATTTATAACCTGGACAAACTGGTTGTTAACAATTTACAAATTCTTCTGCTATATAAAAGAAAGAAGATTGGACCCTCTTCCACCATCAACTTTGGATCTAAACTACACCATGTTTCTGAAGAGCCATGTTGCCACAGTGACTCAGGCTCTGGGTACTACCCTGAGCCCCTGAACAAGTGTTCCAATGGCCAGGCACTACCACCCTTCCCAATGCTGCACAAACCACACTTTTCTTTTCATGGTCATTCATCTTGTAGGTTTTATGCTGAACCAAACCCGAAGTGTGAGAGATCTGAATAAGCCTAATACCCCTAAAGAAAATGTTTGAACCAATAACCTTATGAGTGAGCTTACCATCACTGCATTTCCATAACAGATTATACCATTACCATCGTATCCTTTCTGACAAGTGCAGCTTCTTATTCCTGGAGATGTATATGTGCAAGTCGCCTGCCAACATATGTGAAGTAAATCAGCAAATGAACGGTAAAAAGATACACTTTTTTTCTAAACATGAAGAGAATCGTCTCTATTTTGTTGGTGCTCTCCTATAGAGTTTTATGTTTTCCTTTCAGATAATGGAATAGGAAATTGCGACCTGTTTCAGGCCTGCTTTGAAATGGCAGAGACAAGCTTTGAGCACAGCACATTTAAGCAATCTTATGGTACCTGAATAATATCTATCATACTTTAAGAATCCACCAGGCACATAATTAGAAGTATAGAGTATAAATAGTAAGGATTCACACTAAACCTTCATAAATCACTGTTTGTGCCTCAGTTGCAGTGATGTGTCCAATTCTAGACATTACACTTTAAGAAGGATGTTAAGGCATTGGTGTGAGTGTACAGGAGCTTTACTGATATGGTACCTGGAATGAAAGACCTCAGTTAATAAACTGTAGGAGGTTGGGATTGTTCTCCACAAACCAAGTGACTTAATTGGGGCATTCAAAATAATGATGGATTTTGTACTTTTCATGGGAGGTGAGTGTCTCTGGTGAGGCCAGCATTTCTTGCCCATCCTTAATTGCCCTTGAGAAGATGGTACTGAGCTGTCTTCTTGAACCACTGAAGCCCATCTGGTGTAGTTAGACCCATAATAACATGAGGGAAAGAGTTCCAGGATTGTGACCTGGTAACACTGGTGGAATGGTGATATATTCAGGATGGCTGAATGTGTGACTTGGATGGTATCATTGTAGGTACTGGTGCTCCGATGGAGGCCATGGGTTTGGAAGGTGCTGTTGGAGGAGCCTTGGTGAATTGCTGCATCCATCTTCTGGATGACACACACTACTGTCATTGTCCATCAGTGGCAAAGGGAGTGCATGTTTAAGGTAGAAAATCAGGTTCCCATCAGGTGGGCTGCTTTGTCCTGGATTGTATTGAGTTTTTGAGCGCTGTTGGAGCTGCACCAATCCAGGCAAATGGAAAGTATTCAATCACATTCCTGACTTCAACCTTATAGATGGTGGACATTTTTCAGAGATTTACGAGGTGAGTTACTCATAGTAAAATTCCAAGCTGCTGATCATCTCTGTGGCCTGAATATTTATGTGGCCAGTCCAGTTCCGTTCCAGGGCCATGGAAAGCCCCAAGATGTTAATTGTGGGGTATCATCAATGGTAATTTCACTGAATATCAAAAAGGGTTTGTTACATTCTCTCTTGTTGCAGATGGTTATTGCCTGGCACTTTGTGTGGCACAAATAATGTTTGCCACATGGCAGCCCAAACCTAGACATTGCCCAGGTCTTCCTACGTATACCAATTACTTCAGTAACATGTGGAGTTGAGAATTCAAAAGGGACAGTATTTTTTTCAGATGACACTAACTACTTTTGGACTAACTCCAACCGAGTAAAAAGTGCAATTCAGTCTCAAATTCTCCAAGAATATAATTCTGAGTGATCTAATCTTAATAAAGCTTAATACTATTTGTGAGTTGGTGGATGTACCAGAAGAGTGAGACTTGCAAATCACTTTACACTTGTCTGTTGGACTGGATTTGAGAGGACCCATTGATAAATTTGGAATGTGGGCGGGTGGGATAAGAGGCAAATATGAAGGGGGAGAATGTAGTGCCCAAGATTGATGTAAAGGTGGGGGATAATTTCCCTCTGCTTTTGGCTCTATTCCAACAAAAAGACTTACCTGTTGCCTCTGAGGACCCCTGATTTAGCTGCTGTAGAGCCCGAAATCCAGTCAGAGTTCTGAGTGCTTCAGGCTCCGAATGCTTTAAACAGACTTCCCAGAAATGGCCATAGGACCTTCAATGTGATCAGCAATGGGGTCCTTGCACTCATTTCAGGCAGATGCCAAGGCCACCTAAAGAAAAAGGCTCTTGCGAAACTAGCCAATCAGACGTGCACAGCGAGCTTTGTCTCTTCGCTAAATTGCTCATCGTTGCACCCTTTTTAAGCTACATATCCATTGCACTGGCATTGAAATTATGCTGCTGGGAATTCTGGTTAGCATGCTTACCCATCCTGATGAAACAAGGGGGTATAATTTTAAAGTGGAAGGCAGGAGGTTTAGAGAGGATTTGCAGGAAATCTTTTTCACCCAGAGGGAGGTGGGGTTGGGGATGCACTGCCGGGGAGTGTAGATGAGACGGGGAAACTCATAAACTTTAAAAAACTATTGGATGAGCACTTGAAGCATCATAACATTCACGGTATGGGCCCAATGCAGGAAAGGGAGACTAGTATAGGTAGGAGTATATCTTTGGTGATACAGACCTGATGGGCTGAAGGGCTTCCTCTGTACTGTATGATCCTAGAACTCAACAGATTCTAACATCAAACCAACTTACCAGATAATGGCAGCCTCCATTGTATTCCAAACAAGGATTTATCGGCTCACATTCTATGCCATTACCACGGAAACCCTTCTTGCACTCACAGTCACTCTGTTGATAAATGAAAGTCTCAATAAAATTTGTGCTTGTATCTACTATTGTTGAAGTTGCTTTCATTCCTCAGAGCTTTGAGTATAGGAGTTGAGACATCATATTGAGGTTGTATTGGACATTGGTGAGGCCTCTTCTGGAGTACTGTGTGCAGTTCAGGTCACCCTGTTATAGGAAGGATATTATTAAACGGAAAGGGTTCAGAAAAAAAATTACCAGGATTTTGCCGGAAATGGAGGGTTTGTGTTATAAAAATAGGTTGGATAGGTGGCACTTTTTCACTGGAGCGATGGAGGTTGAGAGGTGACCTTATAGAGGTTTATAAAATCATGAGGGGCATAGATAAGGTTAATAGCAAAGGTCTTTTCCCTAAGGTGGGGGAGTTCAAAACTAGGGGGCATATTTTTAAGGTGAGAGAAGAAGGAGTTAAAAAGGACATGTGGGGCAACTTTTTTTTATGCAGAGTTTTTAGTGTGTGGAATGAACTGCCAGAAGAAGTGGTAGATGTAGGTGCATTTACAATGTTTAAAAGATATTTGGATAAGTACATAAATAAGAGGAAGGATATGGACCAAATGCAGGCAGGTGGGGCTAGTTTAGTTTGGGAACATGGTCAGTGTGGACTAGTTGGGCCGAAGGGTCTGTTTCCATGTCGTATGACTCTATGACTCTGTAACTCATGTAAAATGGGGATCACTTGAAATAGAAGCAGAATTCTGGTGACTTCTTTTGTTTGCAATGTTCTTTTGAAATATTAATTTCAACTTCAATTACGACTACGGCAACTTCAATTACCATTCAACACAGGTTTTGTTGTGAATTTTTGAAAACCATCTTGGTGTAATCATAAAGATAAGGCATCAAGGAGGAAAAGAGCGTTTCTTCTGATGGGAGAGTTTGGAACACGGCGTAACATAAAAAGAAACTACTGCAGACATTGGAAATCTGAAATAAAACCAGAAATTGCTGGTCTGCCAGCATCTGTGGAGAGATGTTCTAAAGAAGAGTCATACTGGATTTTAAACATTAACTCCGTTTCTGTCGCCTTAAGATCTTGGGATCATTATTTCTGAATAAAAATTGCTCACTTAGAACTGAGCTGAGGAGAAATTCTTTCATGAAAATGGTGGTTAACCTTTTGAATTCTCTACCTGAGAGAGCTGGGGATGCTCAGTCATCCACTACACAGAGGTTCAAAGCTAAGATCGATACATTTTTGGGCATTACAGTGAGCATGGAATGAGTATTGGGAAGATAAGTGGAGTTAACTAGAAGGTTTGGCCTGCTGCAAATGGTCTTTCCAGAATGGCTAAAGGACCTTAAAGATGATCAGAAATAGCCTCCTTGCATTAATTTCAGGTGGATAACAGGGCTGCCTAAAAAAAAATGGCTCTGACGAAACTTGTCACAAACACACCCACAGTGCCCTGGTAAATTGGTTGTTCTTGTGCCCATTTTGTGCCTGTGCATCAGACACATTGGCACTGAATGGTATTGCCATTATTAATGAGAGGGAGTATGTTTTATTACACTGTTCGGCCCTATTCCAGCACTCAGTCTCCCCTGCACTACTGCAGTAGTGAGACCAGGGGAGCTGCATCATTAGAGGAGCTGTATTTCAGACGTGGGATGGCGGGGGGCACGGTGGAGTGCGAGCAGACACCTCCATCTGTCCCGCTCATTATTACACTCACATCTTGTAATGGCATTTCACCTCCCAGGCTACAGAATCGAGAGTGGGCCATAATGGACCCTGGAAAGGAGTTGACAGTGTCAACGAGAGGACAGGAAAATGAAGACAAGAATCATGTACATTTACCTGGCCTGGCCCCAGGTAGATGCAGTTCGCATCGATGTGACATCCTCCTCGACTTTCCAGCAAGCAGTTATTGATTTCAGTACAATCCTCGCCATTTCCTGTCCATCCGGGTAAACATCGACACAAATATGACCCCGTTCCCGTAGTTATACATTCAGCCTGTGGGTGAATTGTGCACATTAAAAGTTTATATTGACAAATTGCATTGCATACTTAATGTGGTGGGGTGGGAGCGGTGTTGGTAAGCTTAGAAAAGTTTTTTTTACCATTATTTATTCACAGGATGAGGGCATCGCTGACCAGGCCAGCATTTATTGCCCATCCCTAATTGCCCAGAGGCAATCAAAAGTCAACCACATTGCTGAGGGTCTAGAGTCACATGTAGTCACAGATCAAGTAAGGATGGCAGTTTCCTTCCCTGAAGGACATTAGTGAACCAGATGGGTTTTTCCCCAATAATTGATATTGGTTTCATAATCATCATTAGATGACTCTTTAATCCAGATTTTGTTTTTAACTGAATTCAAATTTCACCACGAACCATGGCGGGATTCAAACCCAAGTCCCCAGGACATTATCTGGGTCTCTGGATTAACAGTCCAGCGATAATACCATTGGGCCATCACCTCCCAACAGTACTGTCAACAAATCTGGTGATGGGAGTGTGTTCCAGTTCATGAGGGGTTGCTATAGCAACATGAATGTTGTAGCCTGGAACAATGGACGGTAGAGGCTCCCATTCTCTTCCAGCACGTGGTTGACCAGGAATCTCTCCCACCCTTAGTGTTTGCCATTGCCTTATGTCATGAGGGTTTCCTCAACTGTTACAAACATACCTCATTTGGCCATCAAGTCTGGCTCAGAGGCAGGAACACTACCCACTGCCCCATCTGGGCTCCTCACTCTATAAAAACCTATAAATGCATAAATCAAGCACATGAATCAACTTAACTGTGCTAATAGAAGCAGAGACATTTTCAGTGTAATTACTGGCAGCTTTCTTACAACTGCACTTCTTTAGGTGCCTGCTGTGTGCCACTGCGACTGTCACTGTCCCTCTTATGCTATTCCATATGTCCCCCCCGTGCTCTTCATCTCTGTTACTGACCGCTTCTCTGTCACACGTTCCTCGCTGTCTCCCAAACCCTCTGGCCAAAGTAACTTTGACAATAGCACTCCATTATGTCTTGATGCTCACTGACAGCAGACTCCCCTCCCCCAGAAACGACTCCAATGGCAGCTGGACGTGGGTGTGGATCACCGCTCACCCTGCAGACACCGTGACACAGAAACCGAATCAAACTCCCCACCCCCTCCACCGTTCCTCTCCCCGACCCATCAGAATAACGCGGACAGAGAGAAACTGCCTGTTGCTGTTCCACGTGGAGTGAAGGGCTCCAGTAGGGGTGTGGGAGGGGTTTAGTACTAAGAGTAATACTGACTGGTAATCAGCAATTCCTTATCATCACTGTCACACACTCATCAGGCAGGGTTACCAACTTTGGTTTGACAAATCCTTGGAGTTCTTCTTCACACAATGTGAAGACTAGATCTAACCAACCCCCCACCCCCAACCCCCACCCTACACCCCGCTGTGTCAATCTGCATTTCTCCCACCTACCCCGCTTCCCGCATCATCATTTTCAATTGTCAAAAAACTAAAACATTGAAGGAAAACGAAAAGGCACCTGATGTTTCTCCCTCCGATGTGATAATAAGACGATAAAATACAGGAGCAGAATTAGGCCATTCATGCCAACGGGTCAGCTCTGCCATTTGATCATGACTGAAATGTTTTTCAAACCCATTCTCCTGCCTTCTCCCCAAAACCCTTGATCCGCTTACTAATCAAGAATCTATCTATGTTTTAAGTACACTCAATGACATGGCCATGGTAAGGTTTAGGGTTGGGTTAGGGTTAGGGTTAGGGTTAGGGTCATCTGCAAATTTAGCAACAATGCCCTCAGTTCCTATGTCCAGGTCATGGGACAAATTAATTACTGGGGTTATTATCAGTGCAAGAATTCATAACCATCAGCAAAAACAGTCAGTTCTACTCACATTGCGATTGCAGCCACCTCGATCTGGCTGACGACAGACACTCGCCTCCTCGCAGTAGGATCCATCACCTTCAAAGTTTGGCTTGCAAACACAGCTAGACGGATATCAAACAGCAGCCATTTAAAAGTGAAACCATACCTTGAAGTCAAATGGTTTATTATGTTCGCGATCGCTGTTGACAGAATTGACGTTTACAGTAATTACTCAACTCTCGCTGAGCTCAGCTGTCAATGCCCCATCTTTGTGTCACAAGGTCGTGGGGAACTTTGCAGAAAAATCAAATCTGTGCTCTTACGGAGTACTGAGGAAGTGCTGCACTGTCAGATGACCGTCCTTTCTGATAAAATGTAAAAAGTGGCCCCTTTGCCCTCCCAGGTGAATGTAGTTGATCCCATGATCATAATTTTGGAGTTGGGCATGTGGGAATACTGCAGCAAGTAACTCATCTCCTGACTCCCCAAAGCCTGCTCACCATCCAGAAAGCACAAGTCAGGAGTGTGATGGAATACTGCCCACTTGCCTGGATGGGTTTTGCTCCAACAGCATTCAAGAAGCTTGACACCATCCAGGACAAAGCAGCCCATTTGATTGGCACCACATCCACAAGCATCCACTCCCTCCACCACCGACGCTCAGTAGCAGTAGTGTGCATTAACTGTAACTATAACTTGCACTGCAGCAATTCACCAAGGCTGCTCTGATAGCACATTCTGTGACGTCTACCAACTCGAGGGACAAGGGCAACAGAAACATGGGTACAACACCCCTCCTGGGTATAGATGCTGAATCTCAGTTTAAAAGCACTGGGGGTGCATCCACACCATAGGGATTGCATTGGCTCAAGAATGCAGCTCACTGGTAATTCCTTCATCATCACTGGGTCCAAGTCCTGGAACTCCCTCTCTGATGGCGCTGCTGGGTTTAGCCAGGGTGACCAGGAAATACTTTGGACTAGGACAGTGTCAGCAGGGGATTGGGAATAGCTGGTGTTATGGAACAGTGACAGTATGGGAGGAGTAGGTGGTGGGGTTTGAGGGCTGTCGACCCTCAGAGACTTGGCCACTGGGAAGTTGACGCCAACTGCTCAAAAATACGGGACAAAGAGTGACCCGGCGGCAGACTGCTCGGAATATTCAGGACACACGCCTCAAATATACCACTGTCTCAGAAAACCTGGGGCGTTGGTTGCACTGGGAACATCTTCGCCACGTTGACTACAACGGTTGCCAGCGGAGGTGGTAGAGGCGGGCACAATAGCGTCATTTAAGATGTATCTAGACAGTTACATGAATGTTCAGGGAGCAGAGGGATACAGATCCTTGGAAAATAGGCGACAGGTTTAGATAGAGGATCTGGATCGGTGCAGGCTTGGAGGGCCGAAGGGCCTGTTTCTGTGCTGTAATTTTCTCTGTTCTCTGTTCTTTGGTTCAAGGCGGTAGCTGACCACCACTGTTCCCTCTTTGCTGGCGATCGGCGTGCTGATGTGGATTGCTGCATTGACTTCTGGTTTCAGAAGTTGCCACCTCACTCAGACCTTGGAGTCCACACAGAAGAGAAAAAGATTAGAGGGATCTCTGCTGACCATAACCTTCTCAAGGGTAATTAAGGGTAGGACACCTAATTAAAATTTAAAATATCAAAAAAAATTTGTACTGCTAGCCATATTTAAAACAAACTGTTCTGAGTAAGGGTCACTTGACCTGGAACATTAACTCTGATTTCTCTCCATAGATGCTGCAAGACCTGCAGAGCGTTTCCAGCAATTTCTGTTTCTGTTTATAAAAAAGCTGAACCTGTTCACTTTAAAGTTACAAACTATCCTAATTTTACAAATTTTCTACCTGTACTTCTCTAATGCTGGCTTCTTGAACACCTTAGATTTTAACGACTTCACTATTGTGCGTAAATCTTCCATTGCCTGAGCCCCAAGCTCTGGACTTCCCTCCCTACAGCTCTCCAACCCTCTACCTCACAGTCCACCTTCCACACACTCTTTAAAAGCTATCATTATAACCAAGTTTCATTTCCTCATGTGGCTTGATGTCACTTTTTGCTTTATCATGCTCCTATGAAGCATCGTGGGGCATTTCATTATATTAAACTTGCTACATAATTGTAAACTGTCATTTTTGCTGTACTTCTAACAGGCTAAAATCTAACTAAAGGACTAATACATTTGTGACACCTTGTCGCATTGTTGAAATACCCCAAAAAAAGCATTTGAGTGGCTCAGTAGTTAGCACTGCTGTCCCACAGTGCCAGGGACCTGAGTTCAATTCCACCTGCGGGTGAATATCTGTATGGAGTTTGCACATTCTCCGTACATCTGTGTGGGTTTCCTCTGGGTGCTCCAGTTTCCTCCCACAGTCCAAAGATGTGCAGGTTAGATGGATGGCCATGCTAAATTGTCTACAGAGTGCAGGTTAGGTAGATGAACAATGGTAAATATGGTGGTTGGGTCTGGGCAGGATGTTGTTTGGAGGGTCAGTGCAGATTCAATGGGCCGAATGGCCTCTTTCTGCACTGTAGGGATTTTATGATATTTCGGGCATAGATAAAGTGAATGGCCAAGGTCTTTTCGCCAAGGTAGGAGAATTGAAAATTGGAGGGCATAAGTTTAAGGTGAGAGGGGAAAGATTTAAAAGGGACTTGAGCGGCAACTTTTTCACACAGTGGGTGGTGCACGTATGGAATGAGCTGCCAGAGGAAGTGATAGAGATGGGTACGATTACAACATTGAAAAGACATTTGGTCAGGTAAATGCATAGGAAAGGTTTAGAGGAGTATGGGCCAAATGCAGGCAAATGGGATGAGTTCAGTTTAGGAACCTGACCGGCAAGGATGAGTTGGGCCTAAGGGCCTGTTTCCATGCAGTATACCTCTATGGCTCTATGTCTCTAAATTTTACCACTTGTCATTGATGACATGGGGACAGTTTGAAGACATTAGCTCGCCAAACTCTCAGGAACGAAAATAATGTCCAAGTGAGCCTAGAAACAGGAATCCAGGAGGTCTGTGGCGAGTGGTTGGAGGATGGATGGGGCACAGAAATAATTTCTGACTCTAAATGGCTAGGCCTGTGGTGCACAAGGTATTGGAGATTGGGTCTCATTGTCACTGAAGGCACTTCGTTCCAAATGAGCACACTGGGAGGGGCTCTAGTCTCTCTGTTTTCTCAAGATTATGCCTTTCACATTTGTTAATGTTTCTCCGACGCTACAGCCATCAATACCTGAGTGTCCCATTCTTATATTCGCAGTTGGCATGGGCATGGCAGAACTGAACACTGGGTCCGCAAGGCATGGTCTGTCTCTCACAGAAGACACCACTGTATCTCGACGTGCAGGAGTTAACCTTACAGGCTCCGTTGCCAGTCACGCTGTTGTCACATTTCCCATGAACACATCGGCAGGCTACAACAAGGTTAAAAAGAAAGACCAGCTTGAGAGCTCAGTGGAGATGGTAATTGAGGCTGTGTGCATTATTATGTAGCTCAAGCCATCAGGAACAGACTTACTTTGGTCACAGTTTGGTCCATATTTGTGAGGGTGGGAACACAGATGACACTTGGAGCCTGTGAATTTGTCATCGCAAAGACATGTGCCATTTCCATCCAAACCATCTACACACTGAAGCAAAACAAAATAGGCACAAATTGATGTTAGAATTTGGAACTTATCACCACAAAGAATCTCTGAGGTGAAAAGCCAAGACTCATTTGAGGGGAAGTGAGATAAGTAAACGAGGGACAAAAGGATGTAAAGATGCTCAAATAGGATTAAATAAAATAGGAAGGGAGGAGGTTTGTAGCAACCCTGCTTTCAGTGTTGAGGAGAGAATGCTACAAGCTGTGTTGCCATCTTGATCTCACTGAGGAAAAGAGTCAACAGATTGGAGAGATTTTGAAAAGTTTGAAGACAAACTTTGTAACCCCATTTTAATATTACACACAAATGGTATGAGCTCAGAAGATGGAGATTCTTGATCAGTATGTAACCACATCGATACATCCAGGTCCATCCTATGAATTTGGACAACTGAAGGATGAGTTAAGATTTTCTCAGGCTTGAGAGATCCTGCAGTGAGAGCACATCTGCTGAGAGAGGAGAAACTTACTCTCAGAAAAATATTGACATGTGCAGACGCTCTAAAGTTGTTAATCATCAGCTGTAGCACATTAATGGGAGAACAGATGAGAACAGTATTACATTCCAGGCCAAATGAGAACAACATCATGGGAAAAAAGGAAGACAGATTTGCAGAAGAGCCAACAGAAAGATCAATGCCCAAGAGTAGGATGTAAATATTGTGGGGGACATTACATAAAAAAAAGGAAAGATAGTTTAGCATCAGGGAAGCAGCATTCTAACTGCAAGGAATGGAATAACTTTGCACACAAGTGTCTGGCTAGGAAGAAGCAACAAAAATCATATAAAGATGGATGCTGGAGTGATGTCAGTGGCCGATTCACTCTCTGCCATAGAAAACGTTGGACATTTCAGGTCTGAATAGTAAATGGTGTATTCCTGTTAGAAGGATAACAAGTAACATGATATCATATGAAGAGAGATTGAACAGTTTAGGTCTATACTGGCTAGAGTTTGGAAGAATAAGAGAAGCTAATTGAGGTACATAAGATGCTAAAGCGAATTGACAAAATAGCACTGAGCAGATATTTCCCCTTGCAGGCAATCTAGAATGAGAGGTCATAGTTTTGGGATGTCTTTTAGGTGTCTTTTCCCTAGGGTGGGGGATTTCAAGACAAGGGGGCATATCTTTAAAGTGACAGGAGAAACATTTAAAAAAGGCATGGGGGCATTTTTTTGTGTGTGGAATGAACTTTCAGAGGAATTAGTGGATTTTGGTATAATTACAATGTTTAAAAGATGTTTGGATAAGCCTATGGATAAGAAATGTTTGGATGGATATCGGTGAAGCACAGGCAGGTGGGATTAATTTAGTTTATGGTCAGTATGGACTGGTTGGACCGAAGGGTCGATTGCCATGCTGTATGACTCTATGACTCTATGAAAATAGATGGCAGAGGTAAAATGGAGATGAGGAGGAATTACTTCACTCAAAGGATCATAATCTTTGGAATTCACTATCCCAGATTACGGTGGATGACATCACAGTGAATAAATTTAAGGAGAAGGAAGACAGACTTTTTAAATCAACCTCTCCCCTTGCCTGACCATAGGTTAAATTCGCCACCAGTTGTCTCTCTTTCTAATAAGAAAGCAGCCTTACAGTCCAGCAGGACTGTGGTGGCTTTACTTTTACTACGTTAATATGCAGAATGAGATGATTGCCGTATGGGGAAAGGTTGGACAGGCCAGGCCTGTATACGCTGGAGTTTAGATAAACAAAAAGAAAGGTTTTGGAGTAGATTTGTAGCTCGGGTTGTGGGTGTTGAGGTTGGTTAGCTCGCCGAGCAGGTTTGTTGTTCCGCAGACGTTTCCACGAAGCAGGCTATTAATAAACACATTGAACTCGAACCCATATACATTCCACTATGGAGGAAACCCGGAAGTGAGGCAATCCATCACAACGGACCCCAGAGTTTAAAAGCCAGGTGGGAAAACACACCCCAGAGTTTAAAAGCCAGGTGGGAAAACACACCGACGCTTCATCAGAGGCTGCACTGAGGATGTTACCAAGCACGGTAACGAAACGTCTGCGGAACAACAAACCAGCTCGGCGAGCCAACCAATCAAAACAAGATGAAATTTTATTGAAACATATATATAGGAGTTGGGATGTTATGTTACAGTTCTATAAGTCGTTGGTGAGGCTGCACTTGGAGTATTGTGTACAGTTTTGATCACTTTGTTACAGGAAAGACATAATTAAACTGGAAAGTGTGTAAAGAAGATTTACAAGGATGTTGCCAGGACTAGTAGGCCTGAGTAATAGGGAGAGGCTGGCCAGGATAGGACTTTATTCCTTGGAATGTAGAAGAATGAGGAGTGACCTTATTGAGGTGCATAAAATCATGAGGAGTATAGAGAGAATGAATGCATATAGTCTTTTACCCAGGGATGGGGAATTGAAAACTAGAGGGCATAGGTTTAAGGTCAGAGGTGAAAGATTTAAGATGGACCTGAGGGGCAACTTCTTCACGCAGAGTGGTGCATATATGGAATGGGCTGCTGGAGAAAGTGGTTGAGGCAGGTACAATAGCAACATTTAAAAAACATTTGGATAGGTACATGGATGAGGAGGGTTTGGAGGGATATGGACCAAATGTGGGCAATTGGAACTAACTGTGTGGGCACCATGGTCAGCACAGACCAGTTTGGGCCAAAGGACCTGTTTCCATGCCATATTACTCTATAACTCTATATAATATCCTGAGGGATCTTACAGGGTAGATGTCAAATAAATGGCTCCTCTTGAGAGAAAATTTAGAATATGGAATCACTGATTAAAAATAAGGGGTCACACATATCTAAAACACAGATTAGACAATTCTTTTTTTCTCTCAGAGGTTCAAGAGCTTTGGAACACAACTCCTGAAAAGGCTGAAGGAACAGAGTCCTTGAATACTCTTAAGGCATAGGTAGATAGATTCTTGTTAAACAAAGGAGTGAAAACTTTTCAGGAGTAGGCTGGAATGTGAACTTGAGATTACAATCAGATCAGTCATGATCCAGAGCAGGCCTGTGGGCTGAATAAACTACACTTGTTCCTATTTCTTATGTTTATACCTATCATTCCCATTTCTTATGTTCATGCTGCTGAGAGCAGAACTCCATATGATACAAGCTCCGTGTCTCTTTACTTTTTGTGTTTTTGTTTTCAAAAACAGTGGACTAAAATGACAAGGAGCTGTTTTAAAAGCCAGTGTTTTGTAAGGGTGCTACTCATTTTGAAAAGCAATTAAACCTGACACCCATTTCAGGCATTGTGTGAATAACTACTTGAACAAGTTGTCGTTCAAGTTTGAGTTGCAGATGAAGAGGAGCTAAGGAGTTCTGTATTCGGATGATAAGAAGTTGATTGGTTTTTGGAGTAGTGACCAGTTATTGATGACAGAGTATTTTCGTTTGCCAACAACTGTGTAATTGGTTATTGGGTGGATGATAGCTTGGAACTGGAAACAGGCTCCAGAAGTGCTGAAAGAAAGACGGAGAAAGAGAGAAGAGAAGGAGTGTGCAGATCTTGTCCCAGTGCAGATGCTGCTTGTTTCTGCAGTAAAAAAAAAGTCTGTTTCAAACCTGTGGAAAACCAGTTACCTTTCCTGAAGCAGTTGCTGTAAACTGTGATTGTTGAATTGTTAAATCAGAGGCATTTTCCAAGTAAATCAGTCACTCTGTACTTTTCACAAATCAGTAGACACTTCTAGAGAAAGGCATTGTGTGTGTGCCTGTGTGTGCGTGGGTGTGTGTGTGTGTGTGTGTCTGTGTCTGTGTGTGTGTGTGTGTGTGTGTGTGTGTGTGTGTGCATGCAATACGGAGATTAGAGTTTTAGTTATTAGCATTACATAGCAATGGTTTATATCTGTTTGCTTGTAGCTATAGTCTAACTACCTGTAATAAATAACAATCCTTGATCAGTACAGAAATCTGATCTGTGGCTTTCTATCAACCTTGGCCTGAAAGTCATGGAAATTGGGAAGCTGTGTGTTCTTAAAAAAAATTTAACATTACGACTCTGGGAATAGCAGGGCTTGATTTATGTTCTGCTACTCAGTGGGTCCTAACAATGAAGAAAATTTCAGTGTGAAATCTTTCAGATTCAACATGAAGCAACAGTTTGACGTTCTCTAGAACCAGAATATCAACCTAGCAAAGACATTGAATCTGAAAGACTGCATCTTGCTCAAAACAAAAAGACTAACATTGTAGTATCTGTCTAAGTACCTCAGGCAATAGTGATGAAAGAATATCCTGAAAGCATCAAGGAACCTCCTGTTACTATGAGGCTATTGGGCACATTGAGATGATGTAACAGCGCAAAATGGTTGCTTGTACAAAAGAACTAGAGCCATTATCTCTCAGGAGGTGAGGAAAGAGATGCTGAAGCACGTTCCTGCAAGACATCGAAGGGGGTTGAATCTAGTCTGAGGAAGGCAAGAGAAGTGCTTTACTGGTCAAACAAGACTAATGAGATTCGGAACTACATCAGCTTGTGTAGTCGCTTGGTGTTCATTACAAGCAAAGAGCCACTTCATGATATACAACAGACAATGGATGAATATTGGAATAGACCTCTTCACCCTTGTTATGTTGACTATTATTTTGATTACGGGGAGTTAGACTGGTTAACCTGAATGACTATCAGTAATTTTGTAGAATGTGTGAAAGGGTATATTGTGATAAGTGACAATGGCAGAAAACTCATGAGTGAAGAATTCAAGTGCTTGATTAGGATTGGGAAACTCAGAACCAAACATCATCCTAACACCATCCCCAATCAAATCAGTCATCTTGGTCCTAAATGAACAACTTCTTCAGAAATTATGGCTTCTGGTCAAAGACTCGTCTACAGGGGAAAACAACCTTTCCACATTTCCCCTGTTAGGTCCCCCAAGAGACACTGGATTTATAATTCACATTAAGAAATGCTTCATTCTGTAATTCTTACCTGACCATTGCCTGAACAGGGATTTTGGAATCCTCCTGGACATTGTCTGCAGTCTGGACCATAGAACCCTCTGCAGCATTTTGGTATCTAGGAAACAGGTCAGCAAAGCTGTTGAGAAGAATGGCTATACTCTGCAAATTGGCAAGATTCAGCTTCTTGGTGATGAAGCTGAAGGTTCTTTCATAGAGTTACAAAAAACAGGCTTGTCAAGCATAGTTTCTTTCATAAATCCATGTTGACTTTGCCCAATCAATTTGCAATTTTCCAAGTGCAGTTGTCACATCATTTACAATAGATTCTAGAATTTTCACTCCTATGGATGTAAGGCTAACGGGTCTGTAGTTCCCCAAGCTAATTAGTCTATAGTATCCTCTTTTTCTCTCCCTCTGTTCTTAAAAACACTTGCAAGGAAGCATGATCTCAGCATCTCAGAAAGATGATCCCTATTGTATCAATGCTCTCTTGCCACCCCATTCAACACTGAGATCGTTGGGTCCCAGTCAATTTTCAGTCCCATTAGTTTGTCCAGTAATATTTCTTTCTTCACCAAGACTAAATTTTTTCAGTTCCATATTGTCACTAGTCCTTCAGCTCTCTGTTATTTCTCAAAGATTTCTTGGGTCTGAGAAACTTATTAGAACGAACAACTGCCCAGGCTCTGATGCGCTTCATCCTAGGGTCTGAAGGAAGTGGCTGCTGAGATAATGGATGCATGAGTTTTAATGTTCCAAACGTACCTAGATTCTGGAAAGATCCCATCAGGTTGAAAAATAACAAACTGAACACCTCTATTCAGAAAGAAGGGAAACAGAAAGAAGGAAACTCTAGGCTGACCATCTGTCAGAGGGAAAATGTTGAATTCCATGATAAAAAGGTTACAGGAGGAGACTTGGAAAATCTCAGCGCAATTGGCACAGTTAGCATGGTTGTATGGAAGGAAAATTGTGTTGGACTAATTTATTGGAGCTCTTTGAGGAAATAACAAACAACATTGATAAAAGGGGACCTATAGATATGGAGTACTTGGATTTCTAGAAAGCATCCAGCGAGTTGCCACATCAAAGGTTACTACACAACATAAGACCTTATAGTGTATGGAGGAATAGCATGAATAGAGGATTAGTTAGCTAACAGGTTGCATAAATGGGTAAGTGGAGTACCATAGCAATCAGTGCTAGGACATCACATATTTATAATCTGTGTTAATGACTTGGATGAGGCAATGGTTGCTAACTTCGCTGATGACATAGGTAGGAATGTGAGCTGCAAAGAAGCCATTCAAAGTCTGCAAATGGACATTGACCAGTCAAGTGAGTGGTCAAAAATTTAGCACATGGAGTAATATTCAGAAAAGTGAAAACAGTTGCTCTACTTTGGCATCAACATTCCCTCTAAGCTGTATGGCTGCACAGCCTTGCAGCTGCCCAGAGGTCCCATGCATGCCAATCAGCAAGCTGACACATTGACTTCTGCATGCAGAAGTCGTTGCTGTGCTCAGGGGTTTGCACAGTGGAAAAAATTTCGAGGCAATCATAGCTTGGCAGGAACAATAAATAAAACATATGATTTAAAATGGACAGAGTTTTTTTTATTCATTCATGGAACTCTGTGACGTAACAAGTAATTAGAAAGGCAATGGAATGTTGCAAAGGCATTGGAATATAAAAGTACGGACATTTTACTGCAACTGTTTAGGGCCTTGGTGAGGCCATAACTGGACTACTATGAGACAACAAGGTGTAGAGCTGGATGAACACAGCAGGCCCAGCAGCATCAGAGGAGCAGGAAGGCTGACATTTC